ATAAAATAAGTTTAGTAACAGGTGAATTTTATTATTAAACTTAGTAAAATAACTTTGCAGTCTTAGTTTTACTAAAAAATTTAGTAATAACTGTTATCATGACTTCAGTTTACTAAGAAAACTTAGTAATAACTGCTATTGCAGCTTCAGTTTACTAAGAAACTTAGTAATAATTATCATTGTAGCTTCAGTTTTACTAAGAAAATTTAGTTAGTAATAACTGTTATCTTAGCTTTGTAACTATTTTATTAGTAAAAAAACGTTTCTGAAGCTGCAGAAGTATTTTTTACTATATTTTCTTAGTAAAATAACATCTTCAAAGCTGTAAAAGCGTTTTTTATTATGTTTCTTAGTAAATAATGTCTCTGAAGCTGTAAAAGTATTTTTTACTATGTTTTCTTGATAAAATAATGTTTTTGAAGCTATGAAAGCATTTTTTACTATGTTTTTCTTAGTAAAAAAAGCATTTCTGAAGCTATAGAAACGCTTTTTGCTATAGTTTTCTTAGTAAAAAGATATTTCTAAAACTGCAGAGACGTTTTTTACTATATTTTTCTTAGTAAGGGCTATTCCTGAAACTTTAAAAATAGCTTTACTATTGATTCAAATCAAATTAAATATTTAAATACTTGATTTGAATTTGATCGAATCAAATCAGACATTAATTTAGATTTGATCAAATAAATCATTCTTTGATTTAAATTTGATCGAATTAAATCAAATATAAATTTGAATTTGTATTGATTTGATTTTCAAATTATATATTCAAATATCAAATCAAATTGCAAAACCCTACTATTTACTATAAGATCTCATTAAAGATGCTATCCTAAATTACTAAAAATTAGTTTTAGTTAAATAAAACTAGTTTCAGTAGTTTTAGCTTTAGCTAAACTAGTTTAATTATTCTAAACTATATAGTTTTAGTTTAGACAGCAATACTAAATCTCGTATGATAATCTATTGTAATCTAAATGATTTTTAAGAAATAGTAAATTGTAACTCTACAATAAGATCAACATGTAGATCACAAAAATTGATTTGTCAAGAATCTATGATATAATGATTTACACTAATTTATAAAATTAATCAAATCAATTAATGAAGAAATAAAGTAATAAATCATTAGCCTATAATAATATATGTAACTTTTTAAACTAGAAATTCCAAAAGAATACTTCAAGAAAAATCTATTTAAAGGCTAAATATTAACTTATAATACTAATTAAAATTGTATTTTCTATATTTCTTTAAATATTAATATATTATAGTTATAGAACTATTGCATAGTGATTTACTCAAACATTACAGCAGAATTATATAGAAAAATAAGGAAATTATTATATAGTTTTATGTAATAGATAGCAATTTAGTGTAGAAATTTTATTATAAATAATCTGAGTTTTTTATTATATATCGATAGAAATTTATAAAGCTAATTTTATAAGTTAATAAACCTTTTTACTAAATTTTCTCATACAAAACAACTTGTTTTATATTAACTCTAGTTTTATGTTAAATCATCGGGAATATTTTTAGGATGTAGATCTGCACAGGTCTGCATATTAATTCACCTGGCGCAGATCTTAAGACATGCCATCAAACTTCAAATAAAAAAATTATGATTTCTGTACAGGTATTCAGGTTATTAGAATTATACGCAAATTTTATAAAAAATATTGTAACAATTTTTCAAGTTATAAAGTTATTCGCAGAATTTTATAGAAAAATTCACAACAAATTTTCAATTTATAAAGTTATACGTAAAATTTTATAGAAAAATTCACAACAAATTTTCAATTTATAAAATTATACGTAAAATTATATAGAGAAAATCATAACAACATTTCATTTGTAAAATTTTACGCAGATTTTTATAGAATTTATTTATTAATATCTTACGCAATTTAAAATATATTTAAAAAACTAAAAAACTAATAAAATCTAGAAGTTTTGATCCAATCCGGCAACCTACGAATAAAAGATACTTGTTAATTTTTTAAATTAATTAAAAGTGCAGCAATATATTGATAAATTTTAGCTTACCAAATTGTCATAGTCATTGTTATCATCTACTGCTGCTTCACTTCCACTAATTTGTGATCTTTCTTTGTGCATCCATAACTTTAGCTTCCTTGTCAGTTATCTGTTCTATGATCTCAGAAATAACAGTCTTATTATTTTTGACAGTGCACTGTTTAATGAATAATTTTGAAGTCAATATTAGCAAATATTTGAAATACTGCAAATATATTTACCAGAAAGGCATTGACTCGTTTGATCACAGATTTATCATTACATTTATTCCAAGGCTTTTTGGATTTAGGAGAATATCGCAAATAGTGAAAATATAGGTGCAATATATTGTCAGAAGTTCCTTGTTTTTATATTGCTTAAAGACCGAATAGCTTACTCTCATTAGTAATGCACTTACTGTGTAAAGCGCTTTATAAGCGGACTTTGTTCTCTCACTAGATTTCCATTCAACGATTTTTGCCGCTGATGCATCTTTATTAATATAATTCAATCTTTCGCTAAGGTTAACGAACATCTACTTGACGCAATATCATTTCATTTACTACGACATTTGTTTTTGATCTAAAATATATAAAATAAAAATTATTAAAATCATTGAATTTCTTTAGTTATTTAATATTTTTCAGATTTTAACTTACTTTTCGCAATAACTTATCTTCAAACATGGAAATCCAACAATTTCTACCGATACTTTCCATGAAATATTCAGCGTACTCAGAAAGATATTCTTCCAATACTCTGCAGAATTCGCTAACTGAAGAGAACAAAATAGTGGGTAATAATTTCTTGACTACTTCTCTGAACGCACGCTATAAAAATCAAAATCTTAATAAGTATAATAAAGATCAAACAGAATTGTGAAATGTATTGAATTACTAATATTCCAAAATCCTCAGAGAGCTCATCGAGTATAACAAGTTTTTTTATATCTTTACTCATTTCGCTTTATTTATTACCAACATATCTAGTAAGCTTATAAATTGAATTAATTTTATTATTCAATATGTTTATTGTATAATCAAAATCTTCTTTCGTGAGGTATCTATTGGATACACTTTTCTTTATAATAGATTGCATCGATCTGTGCAGTGATATATAAACCCTAGTTTCTTCTAACTCATCATTGTCAAGATCATCATAACTATTATCCTTCGTGGTCATAATCGTCAAGTTCCATTGATTTTCTTTGTGAAGTATCTTGTTCTGTTTCTGTTTCATTATTTTGAGAGCCTAATGTTTCATCTGATCTTCTATGCTCCATTTCTATGTCTTCATTTAGCGATTCAACTGATTTTTTGGGTTGAATTTCTTGATCCTTTTCTGCAACAGCAACAGGGGCCAAAGGCATTTGTCTGAGTGGTCTGTCATACGAAGTTCTTTGAACTGTTTTTTCAACATTATCAGCTGATTTTGATCCTTTTAAAAATGTAGAAAATCAAACGCATTAAATAAATAAATAAATAAATACATCAAAAATTATCAATTATTTACCTAGGGACAACAATTGCGAAAACTTATTCCTAGTCTTATTTTTTAATTTTCTAGTAGTCATATTCAATTGTTAATATTGAAAATAATCGAAGAAATTGCTACAAAATAAAAAAGTGTCATTAAAAAAATATTAAAACTTCGAAAAAAATCAGTTAAATTACCTGATAAAATTGATGAAATGACATTAATTGGTCTGTCTGACAAGTATTGATTAAAGTTAAAAAATTGATTAATTCGCCTAATAAGAGTTAAAAAACTGATTGATTCGCCTGATAAGTATTGATTAAAATACTTTAAAGAAAATTAGTCGGTTAAATCACCTGAAATTAATTAAACGAAAATTTCTTTTATTATTTTTTAATTCATCTTGAAAATTAATTAATCATATTCAATTATCTGAACCATAATACCAAAATTTTCGTTGATTTGCAGTCAAATATATTTCATGTAATAGATAAAATTCATTGCAGAATTTGTAAAAGAGATTTTACAATACAAAGTGGATTGACACGACATGCTAATACCATGCATCATGGAAAAATGTCTCTTTCTCAAATGTCACAATCAGAGTAATCAATACAAATTCTAAAGCATAATTCAAGCTTGTGAGATAGTACGTCAATTACAAGACACGATTCGAGCTTGTGGAAAACACTGATTATAAGACTACCAGAATCTTCCTTCGCAGAAAATTTCACACTACACAAAAGTGAACAACGGTATTACTTACGAAGTCAAGTAGAATCAGAAAGCGAAGAGAACATAGAAGAAAATATTGAAGAGATGGAAATGAACTTACAAGTAGACCTAGATCATAATATTAACTCTAAAGATCTTCAGAGAGCATCAATAGATGATGCTTTGGATACTATTGAAAGAAAAAACAAGCTAGAACATATCGCAAATTATCCAAACGAAGTGTATCGCGACTTTATGGAGCTGGTAATAGAGGGTAATATCTCTAATAAGATTGGTGATAAAGTTATAAAGTTCTTCAACAACTATAGTACTTTGAATAGCCTGTTCATTTCTTATCCGTGATGTTCCTGTTCTTGTTTATACAAACATCATTAGCTAATGAAATTTCAGAAGCAATTGAGTTGAAATATTACACCTTTTAAGTTCCGGTTTGTGATATGAAAAATCCTGATTGGTTAAATCATTAATATCACATCGTTTAATGGCATTTTTTTTGCACTTTTAAAAAAATGTCAGTTTGTAATAAAATAGAACTAAATCTTTTAACCTATTACATTCAAGATTTACTTGAATATAACGAACTATTAGAATTCTTTGATGAAGAAGAATTTGAAGAATATGAATTTAAAAAAACTATGATATATGCCTTATTAACTATTATACTTCAAACGCAATATATCGAAACACGAATTTATAATGTGTATAAATCTCAAGAATGGTTTAAAGAAGTTCTTCCTCATTATGATATTACAAGATTTAAAAAAATTTTTAGAATGATCTCACAAAATTTTTATAAATTACTTTCTCTTATCAAAACACATCCAATTTTTAATACAAATAGTAACAAACAACAGGCTGATGTATTTTTACAATTAGCTGTATTCTTATGTAGATTAGCAAGTAAAGGTGATATATTTACTATTTGTGCTTTATTTGGTATAGCAGAGGGTACTGTCATATTATATACCAAGCATGTTTTAATAGCTATTCTTTTTTTTAAATTAAATTTTGTAAAATAGCCAAGTGATAATGAAAAAAGACAAGAAGTTTACAAGGTTTTAGGGATATTGGTGATTTTCAAAATGTAGTTAGTGTAATTAATGGAACTCACATAATATTAATTAATAAACCTCCTAAAGATTCTGAAGTATTTTTTAGTAGGAAAAACATTATTTTATACAAGTTCAAGCAATAGTAAATCATAGAGGAATTTTTACAAATTATGTAATAAGTTGGCCAAGAAGTGTCTATGATGCTAGAGTTTATACCAATTTTTTATTTTATTTACATAGAAATGAATTTATCAAAGATAATGATGTAATATTTGGTGATTCTGCTTATCCAATTTCTTCTTTTTTAATTTCTCCATATAGAATGCCTCAAACACAAAAACAAAAAAATTTTAATTATATTCATTCTA